GCTCAAGTCTTCGACACGCGAGCCTGCATTCTCAACACGTTTTGTGCAACTGTCGCCTTTGGAAAAAAGGTTGTTTTCTTTGTAGTGCAGATGTTCGCAAATCCCACGACTTACTTTATAAGCGGTCTGTGCTGTAATGGCTGTTATAGTGAACATACGTTGAGTTGTGTGTCGCTCACATTGCAATCTCACCTACTAGCCATTGCATGCCCACCCACATGGAAAAGGAAATGGCACACTCAATCAAGGAAGCACTGGGTGAGCACACCATTTACGACAAACAGGCATACGCTGGAGCACCTCAGTTCCGTCATTTCCGTTGCCTTGCAGAAATCGATGTCACACACAGAATGTTGAATGTTGTCAATAATTCTGGCAAGCCAGGTGGGCATACGAAGGCAAGTTTACAAAGTTCATTAGAAAGTGATCTGCCAACCTCTCAAGCCTGTAATTTGGCATAAATGGGAGTAACTCTCCAACAAACGTACCCAGTGAACTTCAGTGAGATCCATTGGCCTCGAAAAATTGCCGTAGTTGTTAAGGGGGGACGCGGCACTTCGGGACCGAAAATCAGCCAAAAAATCGAGTTTTCGCGGACCTTCTTTTCGCCGTTCCCGACATCATTGCGCACCTATTTACAAAATTTCATAGCCGAATACCATCAACTTTTATCGTTATTCAACTTTAAAAAACCGAAAACGGGCGTCCTGCCCTTTAAATTGAGGGCGAATAGCGCAGGTTTCGGCTCTACGATACTCGGGAACTACGCGCTCGATCGGCGCCATTTTGGTCTTGTTTGAAAGAACGCGTGTTCAGCTGTTTTTTTTATTCAGTAAGCAACATTGAGCGTTTCCCCGACTCGAAAAACGGGGCCTCCAAGACGAAGAGCCGCGCTCACTGCCATTGGCTAAACGGCGCACGTGACTGAAATGGCGCTTTCCGGTTGGCTGGAAGCTCGCGGCTTGCGCCTGCATACGCGACCCGACGCCATTTTGAAAGGGTTACCGCTGTGACGCCTCGAAATCGGCAGAGCACTCTGAAGCTTCTGATCGTATCGCCATTCCTGGAAACGCAAAAAAGTATCGGACCGTGCACTCATTTGGTCGCAGGAAACGCAAAGGTCGTGGGAGAAAGTCTACGAAGTCATCAGAGCCCTTGGTTGACTCCGACGAACGATGTGTCGACGCTCCGCGGCCGTTCAGCGATGGTGCGACCGAGCGTGTTGCCTCCGACGACGATGACGGTTAAGCGAACTCCGGACGACTACGAATCGACGCCAAGGTGGTGACAAATGCCGAAGTTGAAGAAAATCATGCCCGGGAGAAAGCGACGCTCGACCGGCTTTCATCGGCGCCAGCAACTGCACGGAAAATTGACTTTTTCACCGAGAGTTGTAGCGAGGCAACCGCACAGGACTCGGACCACGCTGCTCCTTATCTGCTTATGCATCTAGATATCCTAAACGCGATAATGGGTGCCTTGTGTTGCAAAGCCTGCCACGGACCGGCTACGATCGTCAGAGGGGATCGGGACTACGGACTTGCCGTGAAAGTGCTAGTGCAGTGTGAAAGGTGCGGCGAGATCGCGAATGAATGGACTTCGCCCCGCGCGAACGGCACGAAAACGTGCAATCCGTTTGAAGTAAATCTTCTCGCTTCGAGGGCGATGGTGGCTACCGGCAACGGCCAAACGAAAATGAACGATATTTTCGCAACAATGGGCATCTCACACCGCGGTATGCACCACAAGACGTTTCAGCGGCACTTGAAGAACACGCTGGCACCCGCTGCAACGCGAGCGGCTGAGTCCGCTATGAGCGAATGTGCGGAAAAGGTTAGAACAATTTATGATGACTTGTGCTTCGGCCACCGGGGCAATATTGCCGTTAGCTACGACGGCACGTGGAAGACGCGAGGCCATTCTTCCCACATCGGCGTGGGCACAGTTATCGAATTATTTAGTGGCTACGTGTTGGACTACGTCGTTCTTTCCAACTTTTGCCTAGGCTGCGAGGTGGGCCCAAAGCCTAGTAGTGAGGGCTATCAAGAATGGAAGGCTAACCACAAATGCCAAAAAAATACGAACAGCAAAGCGGGGCAAATGGAAGTGGAGGCGGCTCTAATTCTATTTCAGTGGTCGCTTGAACGCCATGGCCTGCGCTACACAACTATGCTGTCTGATGGAGACTCTAGGACATTTTGCGCCATACAAGACGCCAAGGTGTATGGTTACATTGACGTGCAGAAGGAAGACTGTATTAATCATGTACAGAAACGGATGGGCACCGCATTGAGAAACCTGGTGCAGAAACAAAAGTGCGATGGGAAAAGAGGCCTTGGTGGGAAAGGCAGGCTCACAGGTGAGCTGATCACCAGGCTGAGCGCATATTATGGCCGGGCTCTGAAATCGCATGAAGGTGACGTGGGCGAGATGCAAAAGGCTGTGATGGCCACATACCGCCACGTCACCTCCACTGATGAATGCTCGGACCACAGTCTGTGCCCAGCTGGTGAAACTTCATGGTGTCGGCACAATGCCGCAAAAGCAAAGGGTGAGCCCGACCCCAGGCATGCCTACAATCTACCGAAAGACGTGGCAGAGGCATTACTACCGGTTTATACCCGGCTTTCGGAAAGAGCCCTGCTTCAGAGGTGCGAACGCGGCAAAACGCAGAACTCCAAAGAGAGCCTACATTCGGTAATCTGGAGTTTGGCCCCCAAGGAGCACCATGCGTCCCTGTTCGCTGTTGAAGCAGCTGTTGCAGAAGCAGTGCTGCGCTTCAACACGGGCAATTTGAATTCTGCAACGGCAATCTTAGGTGAAATGGACATGAATGCGACAAGTACTGGTGCCAGGAGAGCGAGAGAAAAAGACCACCGTCGCAGCATTGTCTCCAACAAGAAAAGAACAGCCTCATTGGAACTCCGGAAGCTAGTGAAGAGGAGGCATGAGCACAGAATGCATTCAGACTATGCTTCTGGTGCGTTTTGAGGTTGTCTTGTTGCATCTTCTGCAACAAAAATGTGTGCCCACGTTTTTTCTCGATTTCTCAAAACGACAATTTTCATGTGCTTCCCATTATGCCGGAGCAATATCTCTTGTTCTATCTGGGTTATCATTACGATTCCTTTTTTGTTTCGAAGATAAATGCAGGGGATGTGTCGTAAAGTAAGTTTTATTGTAATAATTTTTGGAGAAAATTCTCTAAATGGATCTTTTGTTTCAAGTGTAGATGGGGAAATTTTTCATGTCATATTCAACATCCCACAACTTTGCTTCGAAATAGCCCAGAACAATGATTTATACTTTATTGCACACTGTGAACATACCGAATTGGTTCTATAGGTTGCACATCAATATCCAAGTTACAGTTAATTAGCTAATTAGGCCTTAATTGAAAAAGTCACAGTTCATTATATCTTTAAAACTAATTGTCACAGCAAAAAAAGAATTAGATTTTTGAAATCAGCAGTAAAATCTACATAGGCTCTCCAAATTTGACTGAGGTACTCGAAAAAATAAGAGTTTTTGGAAGGTGTAGCATCCCCCCTTATTAATGCAAAAGCTTTACAGACAGAATTACACTGGTCTAGGGTGCCCTGCTTGCTGCTTAGCAGCTGCCATTTTCCGCAAAAATATAAGACTGACGTCGTAATGATACCTGACACAGTCATATCACAGGCAAGGTTGTTGAGCTAAAATTCAAGCATGAATGCAAGCTTTTAGCAGCTGTGGACAACAGTAACCACAACCATGGGCTTCAGTGCACTGCAGTGATGGAAGTGCTGCTCCAATTGCTCCAAACTGCTCCAAAAGAGAACTGCTGCTCCATGCTGCTCCAAACAGTCATTTTTGCTAGTAATTGCTCCAAACATGTTCCGAAATGACAGAGGAAGAATCGGGATGACCAATTTTTACTGTGTGACTGACGCACAAGTCCTAAAGAAACTGAAAAGAATATGTGTACTATCATCCCAGTGTGCTTCTAGTGTGTAGCATTATTGGCTCTGATCTTATTTTTGCGACAAGAACTCTCATAATAAGTATATAGTTTTGTTTGGATTTTTTTCTTTTTTTGAGCTAGACATGCAGGTTAGTGTGGTAAAATGTGAAAACGGGCTTGATTGCTTATGCCTCACACCAATTATGTACTGCTTATTTGGCAACAATTATATGGAACAGTGGTTACTTTAAAAACGTGGTGCTCAGCTTTTCCAGTTCGTTTTGCTTTCTGCCATAAATATTAGTAATTTAAATTGTAGCTCATTTCACAGGACATTTCATCAACCTGTCATTGTTTGCTACATAAAATTTACATTTATTGTTGTCTGTTAAATATTTTTATTCAGAAGTAATAATATTTGAGATGCTTAGACAATGCTCTGAACTCCAATTAGTGTATGTCAAATTTAATATCTTCTCCTTAAACACCAATAGCTGCTCTAAACTAGCATTTCTTACTGCTCCGAAAGCACTTATAGCCGCTCCAAAGCAATACTTTTCCTGCTCCAAAGTATGCTCCAAAAAGTAAAAAGGCACTTCCATCACTGTGCAGTTAAGTGTGATGCCGTCAGCACCATGCCCAATCCGGCGCAGTCATTGGTGACTGTACAGACGGCATTGCATGTGGCTGTCTGTATTGCATTGCATATGGTAGACGGCATTGCATATGGCCATGTGCAATGCCGTCTGTACAGTCATTGCATATGGCCGCCAGTTCTAAGCAGCAGCTTGCAATGTCAGTGTTACCTGCTGCCCATTATCTGGAAAACCGTGACTATGTATTACTTTTGTTGGGCACAAGTTCATGTAAGCAAAAGCTTGATCATTAACACCTTGTCTGCTGAATTCCTCATTGTTAGATAGTAATGTAAGCACAAGATTCTCATGTAACATCAAGATAGCAATTTGGAAGCTTGTGTTGTGCAGCCTATTGTGATGGGTGAAGCGTGCCTCGTAGCCACAGCACAACTCGGTTTTTTCAACAATTGTGCACGCAGGAGCCTGCTGACGAGTTCAACTTCGTACGGGCGTTCGAGTGCTTCTCCCACAAGTCTCACACCTGCCTGGTGTTCGAGATGCTCGAACAGAATCTGTACGATTTCCTCAAGCAAAACAAGTTTTCACCTCTGCCCCTAAAGTACATCCGGCCAGTGCTCCAGCAGGTGTTGACGGCGCTGCTCAAGCTCAAACAGCTGGGACTCATCCACGCCGACCTGAAGCCCGAAAATATCATGCTGGTGGACCCCGTGCGTCAGCCTTTCCGGGTCAAGGTTATCGACTTTGGTTCCGCCTCGCACGTCTCCAAGGCAGTGTGCTCGACGTACCTGCAGTCACGCTACTATCGCGCACCGGAGATCATCTTGGGGCTGCCGTTCTGCGAGGCCATTGACATGTGGTCGCTAGGCTGTGTAGTGGCCGAGCTGTTCCTAGGCTGGCCACTCTACCCGGGGTCTTCCGAGTACGACCAGATTCGATACATCAGTCAGACGCAAGGGCTGCCTGCCGAGCATCTGCTGAATGCGGCGGCCAAGACTACACGCTTCTTTCACCGGCAGACAGACTCCAACTACCCCTTCTGGCGGCTCAAGAGCCCCGAGGAGCATGAGGCGGAGACGGGGGTGCGTTCAAAAGAGGCGCGCAAATACATATTCAACTGTCTCGATGACATGGCGCAGGTAAGCACAGAGCACCGTTATTTGATGTGTAATGAGTGTCTGGGTTGACTCTTGAAAGGGTAGCTTAGAAAGGACTTGTTTCGATTCTGCTTTGAACCATTTATGATTCTGTGGAACAGCTCTGTTTTGTCAATTGCTGTAAAAAAACGGCCTTGAATCTAAAAAGAATTGCTTGTTATGGAGCGAGCTGACCATATCTATATACAGGTAGCTGCACAACAAGTCTCACTAGCTGTTCACTTATCATACTTAGTTAAGAAGCCTCACTGCAGTAGTGTAATGTGGGGAAACATACTACTGGAAACAACTGACCGCTGTGCTCTTCGTATAGCCTATATCTCACTCGCTGAGGTAATTATGTCCAGTGATATTGCGATCACTTTGATTCGTATCTGGTTCTGACTGCAAGTAAGCAAACTTCTCGGTATGCACATTGAGTGTAGACTGCTTCGCATAATCATGTGAAAGGCACTGCCTACCTATGGTACTTCATGAAAAATGTAGCGCATAAGTTTTACCCACCCCTGAATAAGTCTGGCATATTGCACTGAATATTGCTCTACTTTTGTAACCAGGCCTAGCTAGAGCTCATCATTGCTTTAATATTTTCGCATGCTCTTTTCTTTTTACTCGAACAGGCTTTCGCATGCTCTTTTCTTAGGAAAACCCGAGCTGCTTGTTCGTTGCCATTTTATTGACCTGGGCCTAACCTTCGTAAAATATGTTGTCCGCAGGTAAATGTGCCCACCGACCTTGAAGGGGGCGAGCTCCTTGCCGAGAAGGCTGACCGGCGCGAGTTTGTCGACTTGCTGAAGCGTATGCTGACACTGGACCAGGAGCGCCGCGTTGCCCCCGGTGAGGCCCTCAACCACAGCTTCGTCAGCCTGAGCCACTTGGTGGACTATGCGCACTGCGCCAACGTGCGGTCCTCCGTCCAGACCATGGAGGCCTGTCGCCGGCCCGGCACGTCGTCTGCAGCTACCGCCCACTTTGCTCGTGGCCCCTCACCGAGCACGGCCATCTACGCGACCCAGGGCCGAGCTGCCGCTGCGGCTGCAGCTCCAGGTAGCCTGTGCGTGTCTTCGATCCTCTGTCCTCCTGGCGGAGCGTACAGCGTGGCTTCACCGGCCAAGCATGTGGTAGTCGCAGCCGCCGCAGCTGCCGCTGCGGCACAGCAGGCGCCTGCCGCTGCCACCCTTCAGCTGCAGCAGTACGTGCCTGTGTCGGTCGTGGAACAGAATGGACGCCAGGTGAGTTCTAGTGGGGAACCCCTTTTTTCTCCTATTGAAATAGAATGAAATAGCAAAGTCGTTCACCTATAGCCAATGGCAGTGTTGTATTTTAGCTTGGTTATGTAAGAATAGCGCAAGGTAAATCTGAAATTTTAGATTGTGGCTCTCGTGTTTGAGTTAGGTGTTTGGTAGTGGACCTCCCCTGTCAGCGTTCGTGTGTCCAGCTGTATTCCCAAGAGATAAGGGGAGATGAAAGTTGAAAAAAGTTCATTTTGTGTTTTGTCTTGTTTTTCATTCCTCCAGGCTTTCTCCTTAATATAACAAAAGATCAAAGCTGGGAATCAAGAAGTAGTTATCAAGAAACACAATTAAAGCACTCTCGGTAGCTCAAAAAAGTGCGAAATTACCCGATTCTCGCGTTTGTGGCACTTCAATCTGTGGCATCGTCAATTGTTGATATTTCGTAGGCATGTAGGCCTAAACCTCTTCTTCTAGAGCCCACTTCAGCAGCCCCAAATTCTCGTTGAAAATACAAAAAAAAGTGTTTCCTCACTGCATTTTAACGGGGCAAGTAGGCCTTTGAAGTCAGGTGGTATGATCGGAGCCCTGCCATTGGTCGCAAGTGTTCCGCCGCAAGGTCAAACACCAGCGCTCTTTCTGCTTTTGCCGAGACATCAACGAACCCAACCTGTCTTTTTTCTGCACCATAGATGCCAGCGAGAAACGAGACATTCATTCATGGAAGTTCATTATGATGTGTTAGTAAAAGGGAAGGCGCCAAAACGCACGCTGTGAGCTCTGGCGACGGGAGGTTCGTCTGCTGCTAAGCCTAGTCGCGACAGCGTTGATGCACTTGATTTGAATTGTTCGATCTTCATTCTTAGCGTTTATGACTTCATCAGTGCTTCAGACCAAAAAATAAAGATGTTCGATAATTATAACAAGCGTCAGTTTTATTTGCGAGACCGGTGCGATGCAGAACCTTGTTAGTGGCGCAGTATGCCCCAGCTGCGGGCGATGCGAGCTTTTCATTTGAGTATCGGCAAGTAGACGATAAGCACTGGCATAATTTGCAAAACTTTATTGCTGAAATGACGCATGTGCTGCAACTGTTGTTTCATCCACGTGCACGTCAAGCCGCGTGTATCTGTCGTGCATTGGAAGCGAGGAGACGTCTGCCAGCGGCAGTGTACGGGACTGCTTCGGCGTTCACGTGAAGTCTGTAGTTGCAGCATGTGCAATTGCCGTTGGGCACGAGCAGCTTATGCGGTTTTCGTGCAATTCTTGGTGCTCTAAAACCTATGCACCACAAGACTTTCACTGCTATTGGCAAAAAAAGTACCTGCCGCCGCTGAAAACCTCGCACGAGCCAGAGAGCAATCGCCCATCGCCGCAGTGCCGCAAAAAAAGTCGGCTAGAAGAAGGAAGCTCACAGAGACTGCCAGGGTCCAATATGTGCTGCTGAGTCTTTCTGAAACTGTGAACTTTTTCTAAATAGCCTTGCTGACATTCACTCAGTTCTCTGTTTTTCATTTTGCTGCATTTTAGAGTTTGTGCACTAATCGTTGATTGATTGGTAGAAATGGGCAGGTTAACATCCCAAAACCACCATATGATTATGAGAGACGCCGTAGTAGAGGGCTCCGGAAATTTCGACCACCTGAGGTTCTTTAACCTGCATTCAAATGTGAGCAGACGGGCCTGCAGCATTTTCGCCTCCATAGAAAATGCAGCCGCTGCAGCCAGGATTCAATCCCATGACCTACAGGTCAGCAGCAGAGCCACTAGACCACCGCGGCGGGGCTGCACTAAGCTTTGTCCGTTTTATATAAAAAGATTGTAATGAAACTTGGCATGCTTAATGTTTAACATCTTCTGAACATAAGCATATTCACCTAGATAATTTGAAAAGCTTGTTCCTTGAACTCGGTAAAACTAAAACTCGGCTTTAGAATCTTTCTCTAAGCTAGCACACATATGTTTGTCACCCAATGTTTCTTTTCTTTATTGAATTCCTCAATTCATTAGGAGTAACATTTGCTATGTCATAGTGTTTTCTTATGCTAATTATTGTTGACTAAGCTTGCGCAAAAATGCATTGTTTTTACAATTGTGTGGTCTGCAAAAAATCAACCAAATGAGCTATAAAAAATAAAGTATAAGCAGATTTGAAAAAAGGAGCTCACTCTTTATTTGGTGAAAGTTTCATTAAGCTGTCTCAAATACCTGAAGAAGTTTTCCGAGGAGCATCTCCCCTTAATAAAAAAATCCCCTGTGTGAAGAGGTTTAATAGCCGTTAAAGACAGCGACGAGACAGCGTGAAGAACCGTCCAGCGATCGGCACAGCAACCAACCGAAGCACGAGTTGAGAGAGCCGGGCGTTGGCGATGCTGCTTGCTGTAGGCCAATCTTCTTCTTCACAATCGCCCCGGCTGAAAAAGGAGCCATCCTAGCGACCTAAGAAGTTTCAGGGAGAGGCTCATGATACGGTTTTAGGCGGGAATCATGGACGATGTCACGTGCACGCCGGCGCATGTCATCCGATCGGGAAACTGGCTCAATTAGGTAATTAACCGGAGAGGTTTTCTCTAAAACGGTATAAGGCCCCTCGTACCGGGGGACAAGTTTTGATGAGAGTCCGGGAGTTTGGTATGGGATGGCAAGCCACACGAGAGACCCTGGGGCATAGCTGGGATCCGGAAGAGAGGTGCAACGGTTTTCTTTCTGGCGTTGTTGCTCGTCCGAGGTGGGGCGAGCTGGCGGCACTCTTCGGCTTGTCGAGCAGCATCGGAGATAGGTGGACATTCGGAAGCATCAGAACGGTAGGGCAGTAGAGTATCAATTGTATGGGAAGGGTCACGTCCATAAGAAGAAAGAAAGGTGAAAATCCAGTGGTTGTTTGTATTGCAGTATTATATGCGAATGTGACGTATGGGAGAACACGGTCCCAGTTGCTATGATCAGATGCCACGTACATTGAGAGCATATCTCCCAGCGTGCGGTTAAACCGTTCCGTTAGCCCATTAGTCTGCGGGTGGTATGCTGTCGTTTTCCGATGAATGACGTGGCATTCCGACAGCAGAGTTTCGACGACCTCGGAGAGGAAAGCGCGGCCTCTGTCACTAAGGAGCTCTCGAGGTGTGCCATGTTGAAGAATAAGACGACGTAAAATGAAAGAGGCGACATCCTGAGCGGTAGCGCTCGGCAAAGCGGCTGTTTAGGCGTAGCGTGTTCGGCGTAGCGTGTTAGAAGGTCGACCGCCACTATAATCCACCGATTTCTATCTGGTGTCAATGGAAGGGGGCTGTAGAGGTCAACGCCAACGCAATCAAATGGCTTGGCAGGGCACGGAAGTGGCTGCGATTCGCCAGTCACACGTAGCGGTGTTGATTTGCGTCGCTGGCAGTCAGGACAGCACTGCACAAATTTGCGTACAAAATTGTACATGCCGCGCCAGTAATAGCGATGGCGAAGGCGTTCATATGTTTTGAACACCCCGGCGTGGCCACATTGTGGATCTTCGTGAAGAGAGGCGCATACCTGCGATCGTAAAGTGCGTGGAATGACCAGTAGCCACCGGCGGCCATCAGGAGGGTAGTTGCGTCGATGAAGTAGTTGATCGCGGATGGCAAAATGGAAAGCTTGACGTCGAAGAGATCGAGATACCGGAAGGTTGGGCATACCGGACAGATATTCGAGAAGGGATGTGATCCACGGGTCACGACGTTGTTCGGTGGCAATTGAGTCAAGATTTAACGATGAGAAGGTCTGGGGGCACGTGTTTCCGCACGTCGGATTGGTGGCAAAAACGAGCGGGACAGGGCGTCAGCGTCAGAGTGTTTGCGTCCGCAGTGGTATACCACGCGAATGTCGTACTCCCGGATGCGGAGTGCCCATCGCGCAAGGCGGCCAGAAGGGTCTTTCAGCGTGGAGAGCCAGCAAAGCGCGTGGTGATCAGTTACTAGATCGAAAGGGCGGCCGTATAAGTACGGCCAGAACTTTCCAAGCGCCCACACCAGAGCCAAACTCTTTTTCTGTCACGCTGTAATTAGTTTCGGCTTTCGTCAGAGTGCGGCTAGCGTAGGCTACCACGTATTCTGAATAGTCGGGCTTTCGTTGAGTGAGGACAGCGCCTGGCCCGACGCCGCTGGCGTTGGTGTGCACTTCGGTAGGAGCCGTCAGGTCAAAGTGGCAAAGAATAGGTGGGAAGGTGAGCAGACGGCGCAGAGTAGTGAAGGCAACGTCGCATGCAGGGGACCAGGAGGAGAGGTTCACGTCACCACGAAGAAGCTGGGTTAATGGTGACATTATGGATGCAAAATTGCGAACCCAGCACCTCCACCAAATGTGAAGAGGTTTAATAGCCGTTAAAGACAGCGACGAGACAGCGTGAAGAACCGTCCAGCAACCGGCACAGCAACGAACCGAAGCACGAGCCGAGAGAGCCGGGCGTTTACGATTCTGCTTGCTGTAGGCCCATCTTCTTCACACCTGTGTTGCATGTTTTATGCCAGTGAGCCCACTACCCCTCATCTAGTTCACTCTGCCGCAGCACACTCAGCCAGAAGAGTGAGGACATAAGCAGGCGAGCGTTCTTGTACAGGAAAGGGGAGGAGGAATGGTAAGGCAGTGGCCACTGGAGAAAGGGCACTTGACACCTCTCCTGTGTATACTATGTATAGAGAAAAGGCGTAAAATGTGACTAGATTTCTGAAGAAATTTTAGAAGCATTAAAGAATTGAAGGCATGTGGAATCTTGTGTCACTATTGCTGAACTATTGCTGCTAGCAAATGTGTTTGCGATTGTTTTAGTACCATGACTTGAGTTTTTGAAACCTCTGTGGTGGCACCAGGTGCTGCTGACCAACCCTGTGCAGCCGGCTTGGAGTAGCAACCGACAGATGCTGGTGCCGGCAACGTGGCAGCCCGCGCCTCGTGGCGCTCCCGCTGCCGTTCTCTCAGAGGACGCCTGGAGCCGTTCCCTGATGCTGGAGCGTACCGCACTTCTGCCTGCCGAGCGCGCCGCTGCTGCAGTCATTCCACTAACTGGCGGACCCGCCTGGGGCCACGTGGTGGCTGCTACGGCGGCTGCCCGCCACCAGCCAGCGGCCACTGCCGGACAGCTCATGGCGGCCCAGCACCACTCCGTGCCTGTGTCGGCCGCCTCGCTTTCGGTCTCGTCTTCCCTCTCCAAGCGGCACACTAAGGCCAGGTAAGAGCCCATCATCAATTCAATCAGGCCCCAAGGTGGGTGGCCTTGTTGGTGCATCCCAGCTACAACGCAGTGTGCGTAAAAGTGTATAAGAGTGGGACAGCAGAAATTTGCAGTGGACATTGGCAGTTGGTGTTTGGCACATAGTTGTTAGGCAGGGTTATTCATGAGAGTTTTTACAAGCACTGAAAACACCTGCTAAGTGCACTCCTTAAAAAGTATTATGAATGTGGCTGCAGCGGCTTGTTTGTTCTCTTTTATTTTTTTAACTGCCCAGTCATTTGGGCTGTTTCAAGTTCGAAAAGTGGGTGCCTAATTTGAAAAATATTTGTTAAGGGGAGACGCGGCTTTGAGATTGCGAAAAATGGCAAAAAAAATCGATTTTTTGAAACTCAAGTTTTCAGTTTCTGAAACCCTTTTTCTGTCTGGTTCCAAAATATCTACACTGAAAATCGCGCAGAAATGCTTCGGAAAATTCCTTTCACCCACCTAGGTAGCAAAACGTTTTCTGGAAACGGCGATTTTCAAAAAATTGTAGCTTCGCGATGCTTGGGCCGGGAGCCAGCTTCTTGGGCTCATCGGAAAAAGCATTTTTCCGTGTTTAATTTTCCCGCCTCAGCTGGCTCCTCCCTTTAACAACAAGCGAGCAAAAAGCAAATGTTTGAAGGTCGTTTTGACGCCCTTGATTGGCCGTTGCCGCCATGTTGCCTCAGCTCGCCTCGCCATTGGCCCGATGCTCGCTCCGGGAGATCGTCGTCTGCTGCTTGTGCGTCGCGAGGACATGGCTCTCGAAAATCGCCACTTCGTGACGTGTTCACGGCTTGATAATCACTTAAGATATAACTACGCTTTAGTTACGAGCAGTAAGCGGATGCGCGATCAGGTTACTGCGAGCGGGAGCGCTGTCTACGAGCGCCGCGCGTCATCGGAGTCGTCCTTAGCCCTAACTCCGCCGACAGCGAGACTGCGGGCAGGAACGTTGCGCTAGCGCATTCGTGGCGACGTGCTTCTTCGCAAGCAACGAAGCTAAGCAACGAAGCTGTAAGCGGCGGCACGATCTGATTACTACGAGTGGCTGCACCGGATACACAATCAGATTACTACGAGCGGGCGTGCGGCGGTCTACAAGTGCGGCGCGTCATTAGTGTCGGCTTTAGCCCTAACTCCGCCGCCAGCGAGACTGCGGGCAAGAACGATGCGTAAGCGCACTCTTGGCGACGTGCTTCTTCGCAAGGAATGTACCACGTCACTCGCTAGCTCCTCTGAATTTCGTACGGGCATTTTACGCATTGGCAGCGGACAACACAGTCAAGCTTGTCACACCCCCCCCCCCCCCCCCCCCTTCACTGCCAAGGATCGCTCGGAACAGCGGCTAGCAGTTTCACGCGTCGCGCATCGTCATTCGAAAGTGCGATGCCAAGTGCAGTACGTGCCGATTTTCTGTCTTCGTAGTTACACATTTCGCGCATCGTCATCGAACGCCGCCGGCAAGTGCATTACGCGCCGGCAAGTGCATTACGCGCCGGCTGCACTGTCCACGCGGCCGCGCACCCCACGGTCATATGGAGTGCTGTCAGTAAGCTTTTGTGATGCGATTCAGACGTGCTTGGAGCCTTGCTTGATATCGCCACGATCCTCTATGAATGTTCCGACGTTAATGAATTGCTGTAGATTAGAGTTTCCGCGACCGGCTGTATGATGATGCGTTTCACGGCTAGAGCGGCGAAAGAGCATGTGTCAATCAGGGGCCCGAATTTTTATATGCCCATTTTGTGTCACTAATTATACTGCTAGACACTCCTGTGCCACCAGTCTTCTGCCCATAACTTTGTTATTTGGAAAGAAGGCATAGGCCTTCATGGTGTGATCCATTTTTTTGTGATGCAATAAACCTCTCTCCAAATAAAGAAAAGTTCAGTGAATATTTGTAATCAAGTACTCAGTTACGCCTATTACAACTTAATCACAAATAAACTATGTGTGATAATTTCAGTATATGGTTTTATTCAGTTACAATCTTTTCTGTCATACCTATCACATCACTCCTTCATACAAAGAACTTGGTTTGAAATCCATACTTGTTCTTTGTAAGTCATGAAAAGCAGTAAATCATGAAAAGAAGTCAAATATCACAAGTCAAACCTGAGGTCACAATTTTTAGGTGTCTTAGAGACCTAAAGAAAAGTTAAAACTTTAAACGCAGCTTTCTCAATACTGTTTTTTTTTTGACAATATGCTCAGCCCCTCCACATGGTTCAATGAAGAAATAAATTTGTTTCTTGTAAAGTATTTGTGGTATCGCTTCAAAATTTTTATGGAAGCACTGTGAGGTCATTCTTTAGTGTCTGTGCCAATTTTCAGCAATATGCAACGAGAAACAAAAAAGTTCATTGAAAAAAGCCTGTCGAAAACTTCGACAGGCTTTTTCTCACAAGTGTGTTTTGGACATTGTGCATTGCTCGTGGAAAGAGTAGCACGAGAATGACTGGACCGATTTTGATTCAGTTTTTTTTTCCTGAATCGCTGAACACTGCTTGTGGGTACAGCGATCTTCAATTTCTGTTTTGTGGCCCTGTTATTTGTCTAGACAATGATTTGTCCGTGCCATTGTTTCTCACAATGTGTGTCGGCAGCCATGATGATCTCTAAAGAAAAAAAAGAGAACTTATTAAAAAATTCTGAGAGTGCCATACCCTGTAGCTTTCTTTTGAGTAAAGATCAACACCATTCGCAGCTTCCTGGCATGTTTTGTTGCAGTGCTAGGCTTTCCACGAGCAGACCATGTAATTGGATCGTGTAGCATTATGTAACTTGAGAACTACTGAAGTTATCATGATGAAACTGCATATTTCCCTATTCTAGACACTTGCGAGTATGCATGCCAAATTTCATTGCTGTAGGTCAACAAATAAAACAGTTTTTTTTTCAATGCCACCTTCCCCCTTAACTGCTAACTGTACTTTTCACATCATTGCATGTTCATTTGTGAAGCGGCCACGAAAATGGCGAAATCACACATACAATACAGCAAATGCGTGAGCAGAGTAGGCGACACGTGGTAGTACGTACTGTTCTAATTAGAGCTGTGCGAATAGCTAAATTTGGGGTGCGGTTTGAATTCGAATATTGAAGTGGTAGTGAGTATTGAATCGAATATTTTTGAAAACAGTAAAACCTCGTCAATTCGAACTCAGTTATTTTGAAATCCCGCTTAATTTGAAGGATTTCGGCTGTCCTGTATTTTACAATGGAAGTTTGAGGGGATAATTTGAAGCGGCAGCTGGCACCAGTCCGGTTAATTAGAAAACTTTGGGTGCCATGTGCCAGTTCCAGATCCTGATTTCGCTGTGAATCCGCGGAAACGATGGCCATTAATTTCCACAAGGCAATGCAACGTATCAATACTAATGAGTGGAAGCTAAAGCACCTCAATCTCGCTACCGTATATACTGGACTATAGGTCAACCCCCCAAGTTCAGGTTACCGAAAAAAAAAAAAAAAAAGGAAAGCAACCCAAAATTGCCGAACAACATTTATTTGGGAATTGGGCGCACCGCACCTTGATTGTCAGAGCTCCCTTCAACCACCATCGCAACTGTTCTTATTCGTCAGACAAAGCACATCTGTCTTCTGAAGACGAGAGTTTGTCGCTGGCTGCCTCCCACAGTGCGTTGTCTTCCGTGCCATACAGGGAGTTGCCGATGGAACATTTCTTAAGGGGGGACGTGCCTTTGACAATGCACTTTCTCATTTCTGGTCGGACGATGATGAAAATTGGCGCAGTCAGTAAGAATGGCCTCACCGTGCATTCATAAAAATTTCGAGGCCATATCACAAATACTTATTGAGGGACAAATTATTTTTCAATTGAACCTCGTGGAGGGGCTGGAGAATTTATAAATTGACAAAAATGGGTGGTGATTACTGTATGCGTAGCCAAATGTATGTTGAAGGGGGCTGCATTCTCCAAATAATTTTTTTGTAACGCTAAAACTTGTAGTTAATGTTTTCTCCAGCGACACTGCAATGAGCACACCTGCTCTACAAACAAGAAACCCTGTAAAAAATTCTTGAAAGAGTAAAATGAAAAACTAAGATTGGAGCCTCCTGAAGCACAGCTCAAGGAGTATTAGAAAATAAACGGAATCAAAATCTGTACAGTGGTTGCCCAGATATCTGCTCCACGAGCTGAGTATAATGCCAAAAAAACAGTATTGAGAAAATTGCATTTGAAATTTCAATTTCTTTTTACATCACTAAAACACCTAAATATTGTGTTAGGTTTGTCTTGTGATATTTGACTTCTCAGGTATCTGGTCTTTTACCAGTGTGCTTTGGTTGCCCTTTTCTCCCCATAACCTCCTTTTCATGTTTTACAAAAAACAAGTATCGATTTCAAACCAAGTTCTTCGTATGAAGGAGTAGTGTTATAGGCATGACAGAAAAGATTGTAATTGAATAAGACCATATACTGAAATGATTACACATACTTCTTGTGCTGAAGTTGTAATTAGCGTAATTAGGTACTTGATTACAAATATTCACTGAACATTTCTTTATTTGGAAGAGAGGTTTATTGCATCAGAAAAATATTTATAATAAAATAAATAAAATATTTATAATAAATATTTATTAATAGCAGTATATTTAATGACTCGAAACAGGCATATAAAAATTCGTGCCCTTGATTCATACTTGCTCTTTTGCCACTCTAGCCGTGAAACGCATCATCATACAGCCGGTCGCGGAAACGCTAATCTACAAGGCTTTAATTGCCTCCGAACATTCATAGACGTTCGTGTACGATACCAAGCTCGGCTTCAAGCACGTATAAATCGCATCACACATGTCTAAATCTCGTCACAAAAGCTTATTGACAGCACTCCATATGACCGTGCAGTGTGCAGCCGCGAGGACAGTGCAGCCGGCGCGTAATGCACTTGCCGGCGGTGTTCGGTGACTATGCGCGAAATGTGTAATTAGGATGACAAAAAATGGAC